TGAATATATCAAAGTCAAACTTATTCCTATGTATCACCAATAAACAAATGAAATTTGAAATTAAAAACATATTACCATTTACATTGGCACTCCCCTGAATGAAATACTTAGGTATAAGTCTAATAAAATATATACAAAGAGCTATATGCCGAGAAGTATAAAACTCAAACGAGAAGAACTAAATAAAGAAATATTCCATGTTCACATACGGTACACAAAGATTCGATATTGTCAAGATGTCAGTTCTTCCCTACTGGACCTATAGACTCCAGGCAATCCAGTAAGTTATCTTTTGGATATTAACAAACTAATTACAAAGTTTATGAAAGAGGGGGATATTAACAAGCTAATTATAAAATTTATGAAGAGGGGGAAAAAAACACAAGAATATCCAGGAGAATACTTAAAGATAAGACCAAAGTGATAGGACTGATACTACTTGACTTCAAGACTTACTATAAAGCTGTAGAAATCAAGACAATGTGGTTTTGGTGCATAATAGACAAATGGATCAATGGAACAGAATACACAGCTCAGAAATAGACCCACCCCCATTTAAATATAGGTAACTGATTTTTTTTTTTTTAAGTTTTCTTTTCAGTTTTTTGCCAGGGCTTGGTTTGAACCTACCACCTCCGGAATATGGGGCTGGAGACCTACTCCTTTGAGCCACAGGTGCTGCCCTAGGTAACTGATCTTTAATAAAGAACAAAGGCAATACAATGGGGAAAAGATAGTCTTTTCCACAAATGGTGCTGGAACAATTAGACGTCCACCTATAAAATGATAAATTTAGACAAGACTCTTCATAGAAATGAAAACAAAATCACAGACCAAATTGTAGAACAAGAAACTATAAAATTCCTAGAAGACAAGGAGGAAATCTAGATGGTCTAGGATTTTGTTATAGCTTTTCAAGCAATAAAAACACATGGAAGAAACTTAAACACATATTACTAAGTTAAAGAAGCTGGTCTGCAAAGGCCACATATCGTATAATCCCAACTATGTGACCTGGAAAAAGCAAAACTATAAATACTGTATAGATATAGATCAGTAGTTTCCAGGGATTAGAGGGGAGGGAGGGACAAATAGGCAGAACATAGAGTAGCTTTAGGACAGTGAGACTATTCTGTAGTATGGGCTATGTGTTATTACACAATTGTCCAAACCCATCCAAAGTACAACACCAAGATGGAAGCTATGTACTCTGGGTGATAAAGATGTGACAATACAGGTTCATCACTTATAACAAATGTACCCCCTGATGAGAGATACTGACAATGGGGCAGGCTATGCATACACGTCTGGGGGCAGGTGGTATGGGAAGTCACTACACCTTCTCCTCAATGTTGCTATGAACCTAAAACTGTTCTAAAGAATAAAGTCTACTAAAAAAATCATAAGATAATCATTTAACTTTTGTTGCATTCAGTTGTAAATGCACTGCTCTTTTTTAAAATTCCCCTTTAGACAATCTAGCAATGAACAACAATATTCAAAGGAAAGTGATATGGGTGGGGTAGAATGTGCTATTGAGGGTTCTAAGGAGGGGTGATTATTGCCAGCTGGCAGCAATAGCGTTAACTTTATGAAAGAAAGGATGGGCAAGCTATGCCTGAAGCATGTCCTGGAAGTGAAGAGCTGTCTTATTTGGCTAAATTCAAGGTGTTCACAGGGCTCTGTTCCTTTTTGGAAGCTCTAAGAAAGAATCTGTTTCCTCGCCTTTTCCTGCTTCTTAAGGCCACCTGCACGCGGTGGCTCCCGGCCACTTTCTGTCATCTTCAAGGCCAGCAACAGTGGGCTGAGTCCTTCTCATGTCACACCACTCTGCCCTCCTCTTCTGCCACCCTCTTGTATTTGTTAGAATCCCTGTAGTTACATGGGGCCCAACCAAATAATACTCCTATCTTCAAGTCAGCTGATTGGCAACTTCATTCTACAGCATATTTACATGTTAAGACACAGGCGAGTTTGGGGAGCTGTTTTTCTTCATGCTGTGTACTTTAATCCACAGATTTCAGAAGCTCACTGATTCTTATTAAGAAGAAATCCATACCTACACACCTCATAGTGAAACTGCTGAATACCAAACAGAAAGGGAAGATATTTATAGAATCTAGATAGAGAAGACAGACTGCCTTAAAAGAATAAGAGAACCAGGTAACAGCTAACTTATTACAGCACAATGGAAATTAGCAGACAGTAGAATGATGTCTTCAACATGCCCAGAGAAAACGACTGTCAATGTAGAGTTCTCTACCCTGAATATATGTCTTTTAAATATAAGATTGAAATAAAGACATTTCTCAAATAATTAAAATTGATGATTTGTAACTAAAAGAACACACTAAAAGACGTTTTAAAACATCTACTTCAATCAGAAGGAAAGTAACCCCAGATGGAATATGAGATGCGAGAAGAGATGAAGAGCAAAGAAAATGGTAAATATCTGAGCAAATATAGTCACTGGTTCTTTAAAGCTTGATAATAATCTTGTAGGTTGGTTATAACTTAATCACCAATGTATACAAGAATGTGTGTGTGTGCACATTGGGTATGTGTATAATGGTGTCACAAAGGTCTTTGGGTGTAAAAATTTGATATAATATTTATTCAATGAGAAGAGTTAGTTCATAAAGTAATTTAATATTTAAAAGATTCAAATTCTGGCTCAGCACCTGTAGCACAGTGGTTATGGTGCCAGCCACATACACTGAGGGTGGCAGGTTTGAACTTGGACCAGGCCAGCTAGAGCAACAATGACAACTGCAACCAAAGAATAGCTGGGCGTTGTGGCAGATGCCTATAGTCCCAACTCCTTGGGAGGCTGAGGCAAGAGAATCACTTAAGCCCAAGAGTTTGAGGATGCTGTGAGCTGTAACGTCACGGCACTCTACCAAGGGCAGCATAGTGAGACTCTGTCTCAAAAAAAATCAAATTCCCTTTTAGTTTTACCTAAGTTTTCACTAAAGTAAAAGGAACTAGTATGGTGAAAAAAATGTTTCTAAGGGTTTATTTCTGTTGAAATCAATGTAAAGAATCACAAAATGTGTTATGTAAGTGCTTGGACTCGGTAGTAATTGCAGAGAGGAATTTTTAAGGAACATCTCACCAGCTAGCTGTCCTGGACATAAATGATGATTAAAATTAAAAATAAACACTTTCTTAAAATCATTAAGGTAAATTCACTAGGTTTATTTTTGGTAAATTTATTTCCATAATTTGAACTTCACAGTTTTATGGAAAAGTCGGTGAGATAGTGAGTGCCGCCTCAGTCGGAGAATTGCAGAAGCTGGACTTCTATTTGTTGGGGGGTATTAGTGAATTTACACATCGACTAGAAGAATGCATTTTCAGTGAATTTGATCCAGGGTTTTCTCCAGAGGTTCACCCTGAACTAAAAAATTACCACATGTTCAAATAAATGATAGTATACTCCCTGGAACTGTTCAGGCTTGCATTTCCCATGACAATATACAGTGAAGAGACTTCCATATTAACAAATATTCCCCAAAGTACTGTTGTTGCTCAAAGTGATGTACTTTGGCCAAATGTAGTATAATCACATTTTTGATTGCCGACAATCTGGGTAGGTTTTAATTGTAATCCTGTTGCTATCAATGAATGTGAGCACCTTTTTGTTTGTTTCATAGGCACCAGTCATTCTTTTTCATTGGAAAATGTTGGATGATTTACCCTTTTAAAATATCTTATTTTTAAGAGCAATTTTAAGTTTACAGAAAAACTGTACAATGTATGGAGGGCTCCCATACACTCCTTGCTCTGCACACATACAGTTTCTCCTGTTATTAATATCATGTATTAGTATGGTGCATTCGTTACAATTGCTAAACAAATATCGATACATTAATCAATTTATTAAATGAAAATAAACACATATTCTACATCAAAGTTCTCTTTTTATGTTGTACAGTCCTGTAGACTTTACAAATACATAATGTTATGTATCTACTGTGACTATGTACACTATCAAAATAGTTTCAGGCCCTAAAAATGCCCTGTGATCCACTTTTTCATCTCTTCCTTCTCCCCACTGAGCCATGGGAAACCACTGATCTTTTTGTTTTCTTTATCGTTTTGCCTTTTCTAGAAGATCAGAGAGTTGGAATCACACAGTCTGAAGCTTTTGAAGACAGCCTTCTTTTACCTAGCAATATACATTTAAGTTTCCTTCTTGTCTTTTTGTAGGTTGATAGCTCATTTATTTTTATTGCTGAATAATAGTCCATTGTGCGAGTGCACCCTGGTTTGCTTATCCATTCACCTATTGAAGAACACTTTGGATACTTCCATTTTTTCATATTCAAGTGCAGCTTTTTGTGTGGACAAGTTTCTAACCAATTTAGGTAAATACTTAGAAGCATGATTACTTAATCACGTAATAAGCCTACAAGTTTTATTCCATAAGAAACTTCTAGATTGTCTGCCAACATGGCTGTACCATTTTACATTCCTACCAATGAAACGAGAATTCCTGTTGCTTCATGTCTTTGTCAGATTATGAAAACATTTTTTCCCATTTATTTCCTTATTGATTTATGACCAGAGCCCTTACTGGTCAATTGGTCATTTTGTATCTTTCTAGAGAAGCCACAGGCAATTCCATAGACACACACACGTACACACACTCACACACACACACACACACATTTAGTATGAGGAAAGTTTTGGAAAGAAAACAGATCCAAGTACAAATCCTAGCTATTTTTCTTTTAACTCTGTGATTTTTGTACAAGTTATTATCCTTGAACCTTAGTTTCTTTATATTTAAGGGAAAAGAAAATATTCATTTCCTACAGTTTCTATGAGAATTGAAATGATACCAGATTTCCTGATAAAATACTGAATAGAAAGTAAGCATTCATTAAATGGTGGTTATCACTATTAATATTACTACAATGAAAACTTTATCTTTTAGAAATTAATATAGTTGAAGGAAAAAAATCAATTAATGAAATGTATTTATGACAACTTACCCAAATAAATCAGAATTATATATCCTACAAGACCCTCGTTTCCCACAGCTGTTCATAGACCACTTCATGCATGTTCTATCAATCAGAACCCCATAATATATTGGGGCTAGAATTCCTCCTACAACATGAGATTAGAAGATGTCAATTCAAGGAACATTTTTCAATATACCTGGGTGACAGTTCATATTGATACATTTTGGAATTTCTTCCATTCTCATAGTCCCATTTCAACATATCAGAAGGAGTCCTAACTACCCAGACTCTATTTTTAGTGTCTGTAGCTTAGGTTCTAGGAGTGAGGGATCTCCATTGAGTATGGAGGTAGACAGCCACCGGCTGGAAGACGAGAGATACACAAAAGAGACAATTGGGAAGAGAGCTGGTGGGAATCTTGAGCACCTTTATCTTCTTCTTTCTTATTTCCTTTATATTTCTTCATTTTTACCTTTGAGGATCTGTGATCTTGACCCCAAATACACTTTTTGGACAACCCCTCCATTGTAATTTTCAAATCTCCATTTGAATATGGAGTTATATTCTTTTCTTTGCTTGCCTAGAGTCCCAGGGATTGACTTGCCTGCTTTTCCTTCTGGTACCAGTGGTTGCCTCTGGGTCATAATCAATCCTCTGCCCCAATCTCAAGATTAAGATGCCCTTTTCCTATTTTCCATGAATAAGCATATACTGCTTATTGTTCTTACAAACAGGCATCATTCACAGGAGCTTGGTTAGAAATTGTTCAACGATAACAGGCAGCTATGGGATATAATAGGCAAATGGCAACAGGAGGGAAAAATAATACCCTAAGTTCTTTACTTGTCACCTTTGCATCATTTAAATAGGCCTTTAACCTCTGGAGTCTTCAGTCCTACCATTTGCCAACATAAACCTCAATCTGCTGAGCTTTCTTCTGTTCAGAACACTCTCTTAATCCAGTCGTAGAGTCTGAGTTCTCATTCTCTTTTGCATTTTTAATTACTGATAAAGGTTAGCAGCCCAGACTTCCAGAAGCAGGCAGTGGGAAGCAGCACAGCTCACGTCAGCTTCTGTTGTTTTGCGCCTCAGCCTGGCCAGCCAGATTCCCAGGCCTCCCACGCTGCTTTGGTCCCTTCTTAAATAATATCTTAATTTAGATGGAAGGGCCTTCCCTCTGACAGGGTGGAAGAAACATTCCTATTTGTCTGAAAGTGAAAACATTTGGGGGTCTGCTTATCTTTCCGTTAGAAAGAGTATAACACAGATATGATGATTCCTTGGTCTTTACAGATGGACTTTAACTAGAATTAACAATCAAATTCTCTTTTAGGTCATTCAATATTTGTTTGTCTCTTACTGTTTTGGTTTACCAAGAAAATAGAAACGATTCTTACTTATTCCTTTTTCTTTACTTTCTTATAACCAAAACTGTATTACATTTGGTTTTTAAGCTTTGACATGAATATTTATATCTTAAGTTAATAATCCATGTGTTTTCCATACCTAGTGATCGTATAACCAGGGAATGGAAACCCATTGCAAGTGATTTCAATTCAGGCTGAACATTCCTGAAATTAGATAAAGACAAGACAACATTTAATGCTGTTCAAATATCAGACAGAGTTCAATGTGAAAATACTTCTCAGTATTATTGGTCTTCATAACAGAATGAAAGCCATAAGGTGAATGGTTCATGTTATATAAAGTTATATTTCAATTGTTTTAAGAAGGCAAACACTTTAATGATAATAATTATTATTCTCTTATGTATTCAGTCTGTTATGATTTCAAGACACTTTAACATTTTCACATTTAGTGCTTATGAAAATCCTGCGAGAAAATATTTGGTGTGGACTTGAAGACAGATCATATCAAAAGAGCAGATACCGTTACCTACATATACATCTTAGCAGACCTCTTTTTACCACCTTATTTCTATCATCAATGTTAACAAGAAAAGTTTATGAATATGATTCATAAATCACATAATACAACCAGAGAGCCCTCCAAAGTTATCTGTAGTTTAGTATTTACTGTATTTAACTGTGACATCTTTGTGACAACCTAATACATACCAAGTGACATGAATTTATCTCAACAGTAGTAGCTGGGGTGGGTTGAAATGGGGGAGGTGTCTAAGAAGCAGAAACACCACTTTTACTGAAATATTGAATGAATTGATCCAAAGGTGTTTTTTTTTCTTGAAGGTATCTACAGATTGGCACAATACCACTCCCACCATTCTTTGATGATTTTGGTTCTACGCTCTCTGTCATTTTTTCCAAAACAATGCCTGCCACTTTTTGTCACTGCTTTAATATCCATGCAGACCATCCTCTCACTGCTCTGGTCTTCCTGTTTCTTGGCCTCTTCTCTACAAGGTCTTATCTCCTCCACCCCCCGCCCCAGTCAGACCAATCAGGACACACTTTGCTAATTCTTGAGCATGCCCACCTTCCTCAGCACCTCCTGTCTGTTAGATGTTCTCACACTAATACACCTGCTGCAGCAAGCCTCCGTCCCACAGGACTCTACAGGTCCTTGACTCCCTTGACCTCGCCACTGGCCATTGCTAGTTTCACCCCTTCACTTCCTCTCTCACCCTGGCCTCATAATAACCACTGCTCTGCACATACTCTGCACTGTTGGTCTCTCTCATGCTTTATTATACTAGACAACCAAAAATCTTTTCATCCAATTCTCTGCCTTCCATGTACCTACACGGAAAGAGCTGCACTGCTGAAAGAAGTCACTCAAACAGGCTGACTGTGCTCACTTTGCGTTCATAACCACAATCCCGTGGTGGCCTCCAGGGCAATCCCACTGTATTTTACTAGCCCACTTTCTCATTCAGTGTTTTCCTCCAGTCTTCAAGTTCATATTTCCTGATCTCCTCTCCAGCCTCTTTCTTTCCTTACACCTCACACTCATTGATTACCTTGCTTTCTGTCTAACAGAGAAAGGAGAAGTCAGAAAAGAATTCAGGACTCTGACAGCACTAAAATTGCACATTTACTTGCTTTGTACCCACGTGGACAACTTTCCCTTCTACTCCAGGGTAAAGCTCTGTGTACTTGTTATGTACTTGTTCATTTGTTCCCTTTCTGAAATTGCTCCCGTCTTTCCTGTGTGATTAACTTCCCTAATCTCTACCTGATGATCCTTATCAGTGCACAAGCATGCATTATACTCAACATTGAACACAGGCACAACTCTTGATGCTACCACCCTGCTAGCTACTGTATCTTTTGTTTTCTCTGCTTCCTTTTGCAACTCCCCAAAATAATTTTTCCTATTGGCTGCCCGGACTTTCCCTTCTTGATTTGTTCTTGATTCGTTTCAAAAGAGCCTTTCTCCTCTACCATCTTCTTGCACCACTTTTATTTTAAAACTCAGTGGTCACTTCCTAGTCTCTAACTCCTATGAACTCTTGGGAGCCCTTGACACAATGGTTACCCCCTCCTTCCTAATACAGCCTTCATCTGGTATACCACTCCCTCCTTCCTGATACAGCCTTCATCTGGTATACCACTCCCTCCTTCCTGATACAGCCTTCATCTGGTA